GCTTTTTTGTGGTTTCCTTTTTTTTTGTTTTTTTTTTTAATAGAAAATTTATACCTAGTGTTCAAAAAAAACCAAAACAAAAACTAAAAACATGGAAAAATCTGGGCTCTTAGAACCAAGAGCTTTAAATATAATATACCTGGACAGGAGGTACACAGGAAAGGAGGCTGTGTGAAGTATGTAGTCCTGCATTTCACAGAACCATAGAATAGTTAGGGTTGGAAAGGACTCCAAGATCACCTAGTTCCAAACCCCCTGCCATGGGCAGGGACACCTCACACTAAACCATGTCGCCCAAGGCTCTGTCCAACCTGGTCTTGAACACTGCCAGGGATGGAGCATTCACAACTTCCCTGGGCAACCCATTCCAGTGCCTCACCACCCTCACAGTAAAGAACTTCTTCCTTATATCCAATCTAAACTTCCCCTGTTTAAGTTTTAACCCATTACCTCTTGTCCTGTCACTACAGTCCCTAATGAAGAGTCCCTCCCCTGCACCCTTGTAGGCCCCTTTCAGATACTGGAAGGCTGCTATGAGGTCCCCACGCAGCCTTCTCTTCTCCAGGCTGAACAGCCCCAACTTTCTCAGCCTGTCTTCATACAGGAGGTGCTCCAGTCCCCTGATCATCCTCGTGGCCCTCCTCTGGACTTGTTCCAACAGTTCCATGTCCTTTTTATGTTGAGGACACCAGAACTGCACGCAATACTCCAGGTGAGGTCTCACAAGGGCAGAGTAGAGGGGCAGGATCACCTCCTTCGACCTGCTGGTCACGCTCCTTTTGATGCAGCCCAGGATACGGGACTCCTGTAAGTCTCTCCTCCTTCATAAGTCTCCTGTGTTTTTAATTTTTAGCTTGCAGGAAGTGTGCATGCTAGTGTAATGTCCTCAAAATCCTACTATGGGGAAACTAAATATACAATGAGTATTGAGGCAGTAATGGTTATATGATAAGTATGCTTTGGGATATACCTATGCCTGTAGTCCAATGAACCTCACTGTAATAAGTGAAGACTGGCCTGTAAGAAATTTTTCTCATGCTGTTCCTGGATATAGTCAACCTTAATTGTCCTTATCTGAGGAACTGTGCAAGAAGTATTTAGGGCTAAAAAGCAGCAGAAATTGCTGATTGGTCTGCTGTTGACTAGGAAGCTTTCCTTACGTGGAAAACATGAGAAGTCCTTAAGCAGATATTTACAGTAACATTTTTATCTGCAGAAAGCTATGAATTTGTAAAATGTAGTTCTTGGTACTCTTTTCATTTTAAGGGTAAAGCAGCTGAACTCTTCAAAGCAAAAGACTGAAAAAAATAAGGTGCTTATGAAACAGTTCAGTTTGAGTCAATTTCCATCTCTTATTGAGAAAATTTTATACGGAGAGCAGATGGTAGTGCAGAATAAAGGTTTGCTTGGCACACAGCTGGCTGACCCACAGCCATTTTTGTGCTGCATAGTACCAATGTGTATTTCCTTTTGTCAAAGCCTAGGGATGGATCTGGTAGCGAAACAAGGCTTAAGAAAAGCTTAGGATATGTACAGACTTCACTGCTGTTCCTCTTGTCAGTGAGTACAGAACATCCTAATAACATTTCAAATGTGTCAGTTAAATTATTTTTTCATCCTGAGTCAAGTCAATTATTTTTTCATCCTGAGCCAAGTCTACACTGACTCTTTCTGCTATTCACTTCACAAAAACTTTCCACTGTTTCTATTCTTTTAATTCTGCTCTTGGATATTCCTTCTTTCTTTGATATAGAAACAATATGCTTTTGAAAATTTGCAGCTGCTGCTTTACTGAGATATAGCCCTGCTGTACATTGTTAGCCCTGCACTGAGATGAAGCAGCAGAATAATGTTATTACTGTAAGGGCCTGTTTGTCAAAGAACTTTCTGGCAGTTTCATGTCCCTGATCTTGGGCCTTCTGTGGCTCACTGGAGGAACAAAACAACCCCTGTGCCCCTGAAAATTCTGTAATCACCATGTGACTACAATCCTGAATACTGAGGTGCTAACTGGAAGCATAACTGAAAAGGTCAGGCTATTTGAAGACAAGAATGTAAGATTAAAAGCAAAAATCAGGCTTGGGGGCAAAGGAGGGGCTAGAAGAGTTGCTCGAAAAGCTGGTGCAGTGCTTTAACATTCTTCTTGAAAAGCCCTCTGAGCTACAAATTCACTTTTGACCTTCGTTTTTATACCTAGGGGACTAACTTGTTATAGTTTTCATACCATGTTAACTAGCTGCTGTGTATAGCACTGAGAATTTAACAGAAAAAATAAACTTCTTACTGGGATTTTGGGCATATAGCAGTAGCCCTTTTTCCTTCCTCTTCTGACAAATTGGGAGTAACTGATTTTTGGAGATGCTTTTAATGATGTGCCTTTGGTGTTCTGTAAAACCACAGAGTATAAAAATATAGCCCCAAGCAGTCATAAACTGTGTTTGCTCCTATGCAACATAGCAACAAAACTGTTTATCCTGTTTTATTGTATAATCATTATGGTTTTGCACTCATGCTCATTTTGGCTCGGGTGTTTGTTCCTTGATGTCTAGTGGAAGGTTTATTCAATGGTGCTTTCATAGTGCTTGCCTTAGAAAATGATGGGGAATTTTAGAAGCAATCTTTTGAATAAAGGAAGCTAGTTGCAAGTTACAGGAAACAGACTGCTTTCATATTTTAAACTATTGTCAATAACTTGGGGACTTTACCAGTTTTTGGAGGGCTGTTCACTTCTGCTTGAAAATACTCCTAGTAAATCCTCCTCATGTTTAGACCTCTGTGCTCCCAGTGACGTTAAAGAACTAACCTTTGTTTTGCAGCCTGTGGTAGCATCTTGAAATCTGGCAAAAGAAGCAAGAGCTTCCAGCTTCTAATAATAAGTGTCTTAAAAAAATAGCTTTAAAATGTAGCTCCACTGAATATGTTGAAATAAAAGACTAAAGGCTTTGCAGGTGGATGATCACATTGTATATGGTGTTTTCATAAGCTTCAGTCTGTTATTAATGAGAAACTGATTTTCACTTTCAAATCTACAGCACACACTTGGAAGACAGCACAGTGTTTATAGATCAGAATATGTATATAGCTGAAAGAAAAGCTATCAGAAGCTCATTTGGCAGATTTTCAGGCTTCAGTCTGTGTATGTCACTGATCAAATGAATGGCTGTAGAATACTTAGAATGATTTCAGACTTAAAGAAAAAAATCTTGACCTTATGAATAGAAAAACCTTCATTGATCAAAGCCAAGTTTTCTATTAGTTTTCTTTGATAACTTTCTCCTCTCCCTGAGGGGAGATCATGAGACAAGAAATAAATGTGTAGATTCATATTCCAGCTCTTCATCAATAGTAGACCAAACCTGACAGGTATAGCCTAGGGAGGAAAGAGAAGCTTTCATAAAGGCTAAGTAGCACAGCCTGAAAGACTCAAGAAATAAGACAACTTGAAAAGCACTTAAAAATGAACAGAGAAGGAAAAAGCAATATAGTTGCTATTTTTATAGACAAGAAAATACCAGTATTTTGGGGCTTTTTGGGAGGCCCCAGTAAATTAACCCTAAAATCTATTTTCAAATGTGGATTGAAATTTAAATACAGAAATATTAACCAAACTTTAAATGAAGGCATAAAGGTTAATATCTTCAGCAGAACTGGTTGTTGGGTGGATTTATTGATTTCTGGCTGTTGGAAAGTTCTGCTTTTGTAAAAGACGTTTATCCCTTTAGAATCCCTATCTTTGTTATCAACCAAGTTTTCTCTTCTGTCATAAGTCTGAGGTTCCAGGGAGAAACAAAATATATTTCCATTGTATGTGGGGACTGCAGCTGTAGTTATAGACTCAGAGCTGTTTTCTCTAGGGATGCTCTGTCTCACTGCACAAAGTGAGAGATGGGGCAGAGCTGGTAGAGAGAGATGCACTGAAGTTTGCCACAGAGTTGAAAAATCCACCGCTGGCCTGTGGATGCACTATAGACCATATTTGGCTCTTTTGTATTCTCCTGAGGGGTTTGAAGAGCTTTCTCTTCCCCTCTGGCTTCTATAATAAGAGCTAAGAGTACACATGTAGGTTTCGTACTTACATCATTATTAGCTCCATACACAAAATACCCTGAAAATACCACTGCTGTGAGAGATGATGGACAGAAATCCCAGCAGTAGAGAAGGTTTCAACTGTAGTTTGCAGGACTGCTGTAGCTGTTAACTTTCTTGATGCATGAGGATGTGCTGCCTCTGGCTGAATGCAGCTGGGTTTATTCACAACATTTAATAATCCTAGTTTTTTTATATGTACAGCCCTAGAGGATTTATTCTTTAGTCTTTCAGTAATACACACATATATGAATATTTTTGAGTAAGAATTGTGGTTTGCCATACTTAAAGTACCTTAATTCCAGCAGTGAGGTGATTTGTCTGAGGGTTGCAGCATAGTTTGTATAAAGTGACTATTCCTAAGGGAGAAAGTTACCTAGTAGCTGAACTACACTAATACAACCCTAATGCTATGAATAGTTATTTGGACTGCACTGAAGTAGCCATATGTTACTTACAGTGACTTAAATCAGTTTTTCATGGAAAGTCATGAGCCTATTCCTTGGACAGAGTGAAGCGAAATGGCAAGTTCTACCTCCACTTTTGGCTAAACAGAAAGAGGAGCCCTCTGGCCAGAGTCAGGTCAGGAGAATCATGGAAATGGAGGCATAGCAGGGACCTGAAGAGATGTCCTGCTGTAGCTCATACCTTTGCACTGCTGGAAACCTGGTTAAGCACATCCCATCATTGACATGTGATAATTATATACAGTTGCACTCATGGTTATACAACTCTACCTAAGTATTCCTATTCTGACTGGTAGTGTTTCAAAGCAACATTGCGTGACTGTCCAAGAACTCAGGCTATAACTGAAAAGAAATCAAGCTATAACTGCTCATAACTCCAAGGGGGAAAATGCATATTCAAGTTTGTTCTAATCACTTGTTTATTTTGATTTTTTTCCCCCACAACAGAGACAAGGAACCGGAGCTACAAATGGAAAAGAGAAGACATCTGCTGAGAATGGTAAGGGTAGACTGTATTTCTTGATGGTGACTGTTAAGTTAAATTGACAAAAAGTATTTTTTACTGTAATGATAGACATTAGGTAGCAATGGCCTTGTTTTTTTTTTTAATCTTTTGAATGAATTTGAAAAACTAGAAGGGCTTCAATGGGATTATTTTCTTTATATTTGTATGTTCAAATCATTTACTAAAGCAGAGGCAGATTCTAAGCGTGTACTATAGCAAACCAAAGGACTCTGCAGAAGTCAGTGCAGATATGAATGAAGCTAGAACAAGATAATGTTAGGAACAAAGAACACCAAAAAACTAGGTTAAGTATTATTAGCAGTTGCTATAATGTATGTGGAAGGTGAACAAAAGTAAACTAATTACAATTAATTACTGAAAAGGAGGAAGAATGTAAGTCTCTTCTCTGAAAAGCCAAGGGTTTTCCAAGATGGGAGACTTGAGCAGTTATTTTGGCCTTTACATTGGTCTGAATGGAATTTTGGGGCTCTTTGAGACAACATACCTTAAAACATTAAGAGGCTTCTTTATGCCTACTTTTTCCTAATACAGAGAGGTGACTTTCCCATAAGGGCTGTTCGCATAATGTTACAGTAAATGAAATCTGTAGATGTTGTTCCCAGTATGATAAAACACAAATTAGAGTGGAAAAAAAGAAATAAATATTTTGGCTTGTTATAGTGTCTTGAATTAGTGGGAACAAATGTACCCTGACAGCAAAGTCATTTGTGTTCTCAAGTTAACAGGAAAGGAAAGCAAGCAAAATTATGTCAGCCATTTGGGCAGCAGGGGAAGCATGTTTCTGTCTTTACTGTTTGAGCACATTATGAACTGAGCTCATTTGCCTTGAATTTCTTCCCAAATAAAATTGTCCTGTTGTCAAGTTTAGCTTAGATTTACTGATCCTGCAGCATTCTTAATTCTTTTTTTTTCTCAACAGGAATTTTGAGTGAGAAAGGGCTGCATCATTAATTCAGAAATCTATATGATTCTAGTTGTAGCATAGTTTTAGGCCTAATATGAACAGGCAGATGTGCAGTTAATCTTAGACAAGTAGATGCCAATTATTTTTTGTAATGAAATTGTAACAACAAACCTGTCACCTATGTATAATAGTGGAGCAGTAGGGGAAATGGATTAGTGTCCTCTGATTTCCCCAGTCCCTATGCTTGCATGAAAATAAAGCAGAATCAGAACTTTGAACCAGAGGTCTAAATCAAAGAAGCAGAAATGTGTAGTCCTTTTTTCTTTATTAGCTCTGTGCTGTTAGAACTCATGCAGGAGTGATTTATTCCTCTGAAAACTGGGGTGTTCTGTAAACCTACATACACAATATAAATCCTGTTACATGTTTTTTTTTTTTGTCTTTTCTTTTTTTTTTTCTGGCCAGAAGTCTGCAACATGTCCATGCCTTAAATTTTCCTTGGGGCTGTTGTCAGCTGCCTCGTTAGGTATTTGTTTCCCTGTCAAAAGGAAGCTTTCCTTCTTGTTGAAATGGGGAGAGGAAGAAGAAATGAAAACCCTTTTCATCTTGTTAAAAAAAAGTCATGCTGTGAAAATGTTTGTGGAGGCAAGGTTTTCTGCTCATTGTCCTTGTTCTTGATTAAAGGATGAAGAGAAACTACTGAAAATCAGCTGAGCATCTGTGCTGTTAAGACTAATTTCAGAGTTCTTTTTATTCACACAGTGGAGATGTTGCTATGGGTCAAGTTTGGGGGGTTTGAGTGTTTTTGTTTTTTTTTTTTTTTTGTTAGAAAATGAATTTTGAGCCTGTCTCTAGGCAAGTTCAAAATCGAAGAAAATAAAACTAACCGTGGCAGTCGGCATTCTCCCTCTTTGAAGACACGTACCGTGTTGCTGTCACTGAGAAGCATTTGGGGAAGTTCAGTCTCTGAAGATTCCTTTTATAGTAGTGATAGATTTGGTAGACACTTATGAATGCATGTTCTTGTTTGACCTTCATTAGATAGTAGCATGATGTCCTTAGTTGCGTTTAGTTCCTACTGCCACAGCAGTGGTTTCTCTTAGCTGGCTTCCCTTCTAGTGGAGGATTTTACCACACACAAAATTCAGGCTCAGTCCCAATGCCTACTGCCTTGTTCTAGCACCCTTGCTTGTTGGCTCAGGGGGATGAGCTGCGGAAAAGAATGAGCTTCAAAAAGCCAGTAGTGTGGAGCAGTGATGTGCCACAGTGTGGGAGTTTGTGATCATAGGAGAAGAAAATCTCGTACACAAGCTGTACTGGTTGTCATGTTGATGAATGGACTGTTGTACCGACACGGAACTTCATTCATCAACAGTTGTCTTTCCTCAGCTGCCTTCTGGAATAGATTTCCAGACTGCTAGGTGGTAAGGTGTAGGGGACAAAGCTCCCTGTTTCAGAGCACTGGTCATTAGCAGACAGGATTGCTCTCCACTATATTTTGTACAATATATACCACCATATCTTCTTGGGGTTTATGCAGCAGCAAACCTGGTAGTTCTTGAAGCTGTATCAGTACTATAAATACTGTATGCCAACAAAAATATTATTGGGATTAAATTACATAAGCTAGTTTTCCTGGGTGAAAGGACTAGTTTTAAAGAAATATTAGCAGTAATACTGTGCATACAGAAACAGCTATATAAAAACAACTTGTATACAGGACCCATGTAACTGTAGCTGCCGTGACCTCATTGAGTCTTGGAGAAACTCAGTCTACCTGAAAGCTGAGCCATGTTTATTTGTGTATGCCATAACAAACTTAACTTGTAAACTCTACTATATAATACTGTTCTCTGCTGTAGAAAATCCAAAGGGAAGACAGAAGAACTATCCCCATGCACATCCTGCTATATGAATCTGACTTGTTCTAATAGAATCAGTGGGATAAGAAGCTGTAATTTCCTTTTTACTTATTTTTTTTTTTAATCTAGTCTATTGTGCTTGCAAATGCATCCTAAATGAAAACAGGATGTTCCTACCTTACTGTTCTTCTTACCTTGGCAATGTCACAAGGTTAACACTTGTCACTTCTCATTCTGTTTCACATTACCCTGTGGTTTTTTTTTCTATGTAATTTGCAAGCTGGTATCATACAATCTACTCTTCATAGACTAGCACAACTGGCAGGGAAATAATTGCACAAGAACCAATTATTTCTATCTTCAAATTTAGAATCGCTCTTTTCCTATTAATAGATTTCACCCTTTCTTCTGAAGGTACGTAAGACATGTGATTATTAATTGATATTTGTTAATAATTTTCTTGTAATAGCAGATTTATCATTTAGCAATATGAATATTTATAATACCAAAATACATGCTTTCATGTGATGAATTCTATAACTTCCTGGGTATGAGTGAAATGAAAATGAATAGGTTTGCATGAATTTACATATCATGGTGGATTAGGCATACACAATCACAGCAAGATGTCCAGTTGTACTGGAGGTGAAACTATTTTCAGTTTCTGCTCATTCATAAGCATTTGTCTTGTCAGTGGTTTCTGCTTTGGGGTGATCTAAAAACTCTAAGTAAATGCATTTCCTTCTCTCTGTACAGTATGCCATGGGATGCCTCTAACATAAGGATAAAAATAGTAGAGTAAAATTCTTATCTTTACACCTAAAATAGAGTAACCTAAAGTCACTTAAATCAGAATGCTTTTTGAAAGCACCAACTGTAATGGTAAAGAACTGTAAAACAATAATGTGTGGTAGAATAGAGATAGATCCCTCTCTAGTAAGCTTTCCCAGTAGAGGGATATGAATCTTGCAGTGTTATCAACAGTCCATTTACCCATCTCATCTACTCAAGGAATTTGTGAAATTCTGCACTCCGTGCACACTGCACTCAGGAATAAAGAATCTTGCTTGGTCTGACAGTGAATGATCATCTTAATAGTTATTTATGTAGAGTGCTTAGCTTAATAGAGCTTTAATTCCTGGCAAGAGGCCAGGATCATTATTATAAGATGGTCTAATATAAATATCTATTAAAGTACTTGAAATTAATTTTCCACTAATAGTCTCCAAAGACTAGGTAAAAATATACTGGGTTTGGGAGCAGCCCAACAAATAAACTTGTGGAAAAAACTTTTGGAAAGGGAGGGAACACATGAGGCCAACTTGTATAAATATTCAAAGGATCTCATGGAACATGGTTTGCTATATCTGCCCAGGTCTAGAGGTCATTTTCCTTAGTTACAGGAAAGGGCAGTGACTGTGCTGTAGCAATGCAATGCCTCTTGTGTTTTGTCTTTTGCCACACAAACAATCTTTTGTGGTAAAGATAAAATAGGTCTTGCAAACAACTGCTGAATCAATATAAAACCAACAACAACAAAAATCCCAAACACAGAAAACCACCCCCAAAGGAAACACAAACCCCACCCTTTCAGACTGCTTCTCTCTGATACTGGACCCATACTGCACTAATCAGAAGTTAGAATGGGGAGAACTATAGGAAACTACTTAATACTGAGTTTTCCTGGGTAATAGATTGAGTGTTGGGAGGAAATTTACCTTGTCCTCTTGTTTCTTTGCATTATGGTGTTTGCTAAAATTCTCTTGTCCCTTGAAAGTGGTGTTTCACACAATACAGTCTCAAAGCCAGTAATGCAGTGTGTCTCTCCTCTTCTTCCAGTCTATATCCAGAGCTAAATTGTGTCCTATCTCAAACAACAAATCTAGTATTAGTGAGGATTTAAGAGTGAGATGAGAATTTGTGCTTCATCTCATTCCCTATCTCTTAAAATATGAAGTCTGTCTCAGCAGTGTTCCTAGATGTAACCACCAAATAACAGCTTCACAAAGCCTAAGTCCAAAAGTGTTTGAACCTACAGCATAGTTACCTAAGTTGTATTTGCTCATCTAGAGATTGCTCAGGCTTAGAAGAAGGTGTAAAAAAAAAAAAAAATCCTTTGTGAGCTCAATACCATGATCTGTAGTTGAATGTTTCAGATGAGAAATAGGAGAAAAATTCAAAATAAAGAGTTCTAGACAAATGCCATCTTAAGGCATAGCTATATATAGCAAAAACAGTACAGGTAACCTTATCTGCTGAGTTTTATTTCAGGCACTTTCTTGGGGACAGCAACACAAGCCCATAACCAACCCAAACATATTTCAGGTCCTCTCCTGGCCTGTATCCCTTCCTTGCCCCAGACTGGCCTGTTTGTCAGGGAGTCTGTTCATATCTTCAGGCTGCAAGCATGTCTCAGCAAATGGCAGATCTAGCCTTTAATAACAAGGCTCTCCGACTGTTCACAGATCTTCCCTAGAGAGGATACCGAAAGGAAGAGTGGGAAGTTATACATGAACTTCATTTCTTCTCCTAGGTGAATTTCCATTTCTTGAGGCCAGAGGATAAGTTCTCTCCAGAGGAATAATGTGTGCTTATTTATTTAGGGCAGTGATGACAATGAAGGATTGCTCGCAAAAATCTTCATATTAACAACTTTTGAGGTTTATCCAGCAACAAAAACTTCTAAAGCAATAGTTTTTGCATGTTTGGGATAGACACCTTCTGTACTGAAACTTCACCTTCCCCCACGTGTTTGTACACATCCAGTAGCGATCTGGTTTCATGGAGAGGATCCTCTGGTAGAGTTTTAAGTAATGAATATACCTAATCTAAATTGAAGTCATAGTTGTAAGAGAGCAGATGCTGTTCTTATTTTTGTTACCTGACAAGTCTGGTTTGATACTGTGCATTACTGCTGCACTTCATCTGGTAATGAGAATTGTAAATGTTTAGGCAGAAGCATCTTTTCTAAAAAAAGAAAACCAAACCCCACAACCCAGCGTTGTATTAAAAGCTTAATCAATTAGCAGAGCCAGTAGTGCTCATGTAGTCTGGCTAATGTCCTGTCTTTGAAATCCCCCACAAGTTTTCATTTTGTGTATCATTTATAACTACTCTCAACACTACCAAATAAGTCCATCTGCTGACACAGGGTATAGCATTATGCTCATGAAGGATGTCTGTGTATGCTGATATAATGTCAATTAATCAGCTTTTTCTCACATGTTGTTTTGCTTTTTGTTTTGGGGTTGTTTTCCCCCCTGAGACTGCTCTGGAGAGGAAAAGAGAGGTTTCCTATCTGATGAAAATGCACCAGAAGAGCAAATTAAATGCAGAAGTCCCATAGGGTAAAAGCAAACAAGGGCAGCACAGCCATAGAATAATGTCAGCTTTTTAAATTCACTTTTTAAGGACCTAAATATGAAATTATTTCAAAATATATTTATGCCTTTTCCCTTAGAGGAAAAAGTACCAGAGCTAGCTGGCATCTTTAAGATGGAGAAGCCTTCACACTTAACACTCCTGTTACAAGTGAATCTGCCTAGGTACTTATATGGTCCTCACCACCATAGTAACCGAGTGTCTTCCAAGTATTTAAAAATAGAGATCACAATAACAATTTTTTCCCCAGCACATCTCTTTCCAGGTTGCTACAGGAATAACTTGATTAATTTATGCGTCTTTGTTTTGCACACAGTGCCTGCATGCAACTTGGGAAACTTGTCTGCTGGCAAAAGCTTACTGTATTGTCAGGAAAACCAGGTTCAGTGAGAACAAAGAGGCTGAGTGAAATTGCCTGGAAGAATGGAGTCTGTAAAATTAAAGGTAGAAAGAACACTGCTGAAGTCTTGACACCCGAGCTTCTTCAGAATACCCACAAGGATCTTGATTTACTCCTTTGTCCTTGTTTTTTAATATATATAAATGTATATATTATATATATAATAATGTATATATTTGCATTGATTGTGGCTTGTTTAATTTATTAACAGTCAGAGTAGGATGATGAGAAATAAAACCAAATCTTAAAAGCACCCTCCCCCATCTCCCTTCTTCCCCAGCTTAATTCTACTCCTGAATTTTCTACCCCCTTCTCACCAGGAGTACAGGGTGATGGGGAATGAGGGCTGTAGTCTGTTCATCACATACTGTCTCTGCTGCTCTTTCCTCCTCAAGGGGGGGACTCCTCATGCCTTCCCCTGCTCCAGTGTGGGGCCGCTCCCATGGGGGACAGTATTCCTCAAACTGCTCTAGCTTTGGGTCCATTTCACGGGGTGCAGTCCTTTGGAAACTGACTGCTCCAACTTGAGTTGGGTCACGAGTCCTACAGCAAACCTGCTCCAGCATGGGCCCCTCTTTCTGTGGGGCCACAGGTCCTGGCTGGAGCCTGCTCCAGCACAGGCTTCCCAAGGGGTCACAGCCTTCCTTGGTCATCCCACTGCTCTGGTGTGGGGTCCTCCATGGGCTGCAGGTGACAGCTGCTTCACCATGGATCTCTATGGCTGCAGGCGGACAGTCTGCCTCATCATGGTTGTCCTCACAGGCTGTAGGGGAATCTTTCTTTGGCACCTGGAGCACCACCTTCTTCTTCACTGACCTTGGTGTCTGCAGAGATTTTTCCCTCTTGATATTCTCGCTCCCCTCTCCAGATTCACATGCTGTCTCAGAGCTTTCTCCCACCTCCCACCCCCCTCCCCCTTAAGTCTGTTATCCCAGAGGTGCTACCACTGTTGCTGCTGGGCTTAGCCTTGGCCGGTGGCAGGTCTGTCTTGGAGTTAGCTGACATTGGCTCTATTGGATACAGGGGAAGCTTCTAGAAGCCACCTCTGTAGGCTTCTAGCTACCAGAAGCTTGCCATGCAATCCCAATAAGGAGTCCTAATCCTTTTTGAGAAGCTGGTCTGTAAGAATCAGGCTAGGTCATTAGGAAAAAAAAAAGTCAGTTCTAAATTAAGAAAATAATAATAAAGCTCTGGTGATACTGGTGGTTTTTTCTTTTTGATGACTCATATCTATGCTGGTGTTCCCTTCAAGCGTTAATGAGGAAAGGCAGAACTGAAATTATGCCTTTGATAAGTGCCATCTTTTTCTTTTTTTTGGAAATCAGTCTAATTATCAGTGTGCTGCCTAACTATGCACCAGGGAGAACAAGATTTCTTTCCATGGCACGTAGCTGACACGCACTGGCTCACTTCCACAAATGTGCACTCATTTGAAAATGTGCTGTCATCAATACTCTGGGAAAGAGGAATGTTTAGTTCTGCTTTGCTGCTGGTAGGAACCCAAATGAAGGACCCAGGTCAATGCTAATAAACCCAATGTTACCTGTCAAATGAATCTGTCCCTACGTTATCAAGGATGGTTTGGATCTGTATCAGGAGTAGATCCAGTGGCATATGTAAGCTAGTGTAGTTACACTGAAAGTCCGTGGATCTGGACTGACTTGCACAAGCTGCAGATCTTTCTCTACATGTTTCTGGACACTACCAATAGATGTTTAAAAGGCTACAAGAGGTAGGTGTAGCTCAGCAGCATATTTTTTAATTTAGTAGAAGTGAAAAATGAAAGGGGAGCACAATCAATGCACAACAGTGGTTACCAGGATTTACTGTTGTAGAAACATGACTTTTCTCTTTGACTGTACGCACTGTCTGCTTTACTTCATACAGCTGACTTCTGTTATTTTTCTTTTCCAGAAGACCTGGTTTTGTAAAAAAAATGAAAATGCTTTTCCACTTAAAAGTTCCTTGTCTGTTAGCAATTTGTTAAATGATTAATCATTTTTTTCTGAAGTTTTTAAGATTTTAATTTCTAGCACACAGCTGTCTTAATGCACTTAGCTTGATGCTCCAAAATTAGCTTGTAATTTGATGTTATCAAGCTCCCTTGTGTAAGCAGGCATCAGAATTTAGAACAGCGGGAGTGTTACAGGCGTGATTAAAATTTGGTCGTTAGCTGAGCTAGTGACCAGTTAAGGCTTCAAAAAGGAATTAGATGCTACAACATGAACCAGCACAACACCGCACTTTCAGTCCCAGTGCTCAGAGCTTATTTCAGGACCTTATGTAAAGTGCCTAGGTTGGCTATACAATGTAAGAAAAGGGTGTCTCAAAGTGGGACTTCAGCCCATGTGTGTCTCGAGTTCCTATGATGAACAAGAGGTATTAGGATTAATAATAGTAAACTCTGTCCCTGTCTATAGATAAGGGGTAAAATTCTTCTTGCCTGGCTGTATCGGTGTACATCTTTGTGAGACACCTAAAGCTTTGCTTCTTGTCAACAGAGAGAAATGTATTCTCTTGCGACATTATACTTATCAGAATGAGCCTCTTTGGAGAGCCTGGTGTTTATAGACCCTAATCTGATGTTGGCATAAAATGACTTCTGATTTGCTTGTCTCTATCAAGGCTGAGGAATTTGTGGGTAATACTAAAATAAAAGATATACAATATAAAATGAAATACATGCAATATCGCAAATATACAGAGCCTGTATATCTCTATAATTAAATGGATGCTCGACAGGATTTTTCAGAATGTCATTTTTGGACCTGGGCATTTAATTTCTCCTTAATCCAATCTGAAGCAACTCTATCCTTATTTAGATTGGTATGACCCTGGCGACCTCATATCAGCTCTTCCAGTGATTCTTCTCTGTGGAAGTTTGAATGTGAAAATATCCAAATAGTTGCTGGCTTGAGGTCTTCGTTAGCTAGCATAACGGACGTGACAAAAGCATTTGCTTTGGTCCAGCACACTTGGTTCATTTTTTCCCCAGCCTACAGTGGGTTACAAATAGGAATGACTGAGAAAAATACATATTTTCCAAGGAGGAATTCTCAAGAAAAGAAGAAACTTGGATAGCACCAGATAGGGAAAAGGCTTTTCAAGAGTCACAGCGGAAATAAGTGCAGGGTGCTTTGGCAGCTCCTGGGCATTTTGTGGGTAGCCCAGTGACTGGAACTTGGCTCTCAGCACTTCTCTAGGGTCTCACAGTAACATTATTTAATCACGGTTGATGAATGAGTACTCTAACTGTTTTCTGAGTATCTCATCTTTCATTTTAATTTATACCTAAAACCCCCTGAGACTGCTGTTGACTCGGGGTGGGAAAGCATTAATTATATGTTAGTTTATAGTGAAACATGGGCACTCCACAGTGACCAATTTTCTAGCTCCTCTAGGAGCTGCCAACAAAAAATAGACATGTACAAATTCATTCATTAGCACAAACTAATTAAAATCCAGGCTAATAGCCAGGAAAAATAATACATTATTGCTGGGATGCTGGGATTCATTGTGTGTGTACTAATCTAACAGTAACTATCCTTACTCCACAGTTTCTAATCCGATCTCATACTGATAGGTAGACAGCTAAGAGTTGGCCTTCGGATTGCTAGTGGCCTTTTCACTCTGTGTCCTTTCTACTTGCATAGGTTCCCCAGAAGCGCTATTTTCTGAGAATGTGTTGCCACGACTCTTTCAAACACAATGGGTAGGACAGAGTACCTCACCTGGATATCTTTAGTTTCATTGCGCAGTGGTGGTGCATTAACTTCCAATGCATTGTGACTTGAGCATTCTGTAGTTTGAAGCTTAGATTAGCCTTCATCAGTTCTTTCTTTTCCTTTTGTAGGTTTTTTTTAAGAGCTTGTTCTCTTCATTCTGCCTGCTTTATATAGGTACTGTTTTCTCTAGCCAAACCATGCTGCACTGTTGTATGCAAATGTTTTTTACTAATAATTTTCTATTTCAGTGTTCATAAAATAATTTTATTAACATTAGAGTTGGTAGCACCTTAAGAATGTGGGGCTGAGGTCCCTATAGGCACTGCAGAGAGCTGCTGACCCAAGTTTCTGAGAGGAAGCAAGAATTAGCTATGGAGAAAATTCTGGTCTGGATTCTCTGATTTGTGGCAGATGTGGTACAGCTAAACAGAAGGGTAGGAGGGAAGAGATTAATAAAGCTTGAAGATATGTTTATTCTTCTGGCCTTAGACTGATTTCACTGAGTTTAATGTGGGTTATCAGGTGTGGTACCTTTCTGAAAAGATGTTGATGCACATGCAATACCAGACCTCGGTTACATTTGAGCCCTATCTTGGGGTAAGATGGGAGTGCATATACCCTCATCCTGGCTTATATAAATGGCTGTTCATCAGCACATACTGGAATCAGATACTCCCCTTCTTTTTACCTCAGATAACCAGGGGTCAGAACCCACATAGGGAAGGATGTCTAGACAGAGCTGAGGCAGCTGGATTCAAGGCTGTTTGGCATCCTGAAGCAGCTACCTCTTGGTCTAGCAGCAAGCAGACTAATTACTAGCAGACAGTGCAAAGCATACCTGTATTATCATCTCATCTAATGATTTTGTTCATAAAGCAGACAGCTGTATTTTTCACTAGCAAAAATTTCTCAGTGGCCTTTACAATCAATCTATTCATAACTAAAATCTGTATCTCTGGTGAGGTCTGCCTCTGGGAGGCAAAGACACATTGTATCACCTAGGAGAAGCTGGGAAAAGTCATTCTGAGTTTCTTTCAGCCAACAAGGTAAGAAACAAATGTAAGATACAAGGTTTTGGACCTTTTTGTCAATGCGTGATAGATGCTGTCAGCAGAGGCTACAGACACAGGCTTTGCTAATCAGTCATGACTCATCATTCAGTCCACCAGCACTACTTTGTCTCATCTCAGATGAATTTCAGGTTTCAGTTTAAGTTCCTTTCTCTGTAAATTCAGGAGAAAGAAATAGCTCTGTTAGATTCCAGTGGAAAGAAATCTGGTTATTAAGGATCCATATACAATATATGGATCCTGTATATGCTTAGCACACTGACGAATACGCCCAGTTAATGTGCCAGGTGCAAGACTTGGAGTTGTTCTGACCATGTCCAGGAGGTTTGATGGACTTAGTCTGCACTGACTGTTGGATCTCTTTTAAACTGTGACCCTATGCCAGACAAAAGTGTCCCAACTGTTGTTCAAGTATTTATGTTTTTTTAAATGAGGGACCACATAAATAAAAAACAGAAGACTGAGTCATGAGATGGAGGAGATCTCTCAGCTAAAAGCAATTCCATTATGGAAGAACATCAAAAAGAAACTTTAATTTTTAGATATTACCTCCATTCCTCCTATGCCACAGGCAGACCTTGTGAAGAATGCACTCTAGAGGCTGTTCTCAGGTGCAGCAGAATTAGTGTAGATTTTTGGTTTTTATTCATCGTAAGAATATTACTGTTGTTAACATTAGCATTTTCTTTATTATGTGGTGGACTGGTCGCGGTCCAGAATTATTTGGAATTAGAATACTTACATTTTTCCTTTTATGCTTTTTTCTTGAGTGGAAGATGCTGCACACACACACACAAAATCGGTGAAGGTATCATCAAGGTATGCTAGTGCTTGTTTGTAGTTTCTCCGCCATTTGTCTGTGGGAGCTTGTAACTCCCACTCCGTTTGGTTCTAAGTTTCAGGTTTTAATGAACCTAAATGTAAGCACATCCACAACTGCCATTGTTTTTGGAGATGCAAAGATCCTCAGGAAGTTATTGTTTTCCTCTGCAAAGTATAAATAAATCCAAATTTACTTGACAGTTGGCATGGAAAGGTTTTATGACTGTGTAAATCTGAGCCTTGTTTCAAGCTTCATGCAACTCTTAGG